CCAGAGAAGATATACTAAGGGCAAATAACCACTTGAAAAGATTCAAATTGTTAGTAATTAGAAAAACAATCTAATTTAGCCACAATGAAATATTACTATAGCTATTAAAATGACTAAAAAATACAAAGCCTGACAATGCCATGTGCTGGCAAGGAGGTACAGCTCCCAGACAGGGATACTGCTGTAACGGTTTCCTATAAAGTTAAATATATACTTACCGTACGGCCCAGTAAGCCTACTTCTGTGCTGTTGCCTGAGAGAAATGAAAATCTATGTTCACACAAAAACTCGTGTGCAAATGTCTCACCCCAGCTTTACTTGTCAAAAGCTGAAGACAGCCTAAATGCCTCTCAACTTGGGAATGGATAAACAAAACAAGTTCTATCCGTGTGGTGGAATACTATCTAATAATGAAAAAAATAACTTGATACATGCAGCAACTGGGTGCATCTCAAGGGCATTATGTTGAGTGAAGAAACCCAGTCTCAGCAGGTTACATTCTCTATGATTCCACTGAGAGTATGTTCTGGAGAAAGCTATAGTGACAGCTGACAGATCAGTGAATGCCAGGGCATGGAGGGACCTGGGAGGATAGGGTGAGATTTGACTACCAAGAGGCAGCAGAAGCAAACTTAGGGGGGGCAGGGAGATGAAATTCTCATGTGTCTTGATTGTGGTGAAAATAACATAACTGTATGAGTTTTTCAAGACCCACAGAACTGTATACCCAAAAGCATACATTTTATTGTACGTAACTAAAAAGTAGAGAAAAAAGTTACATGAGTGTTGTCATATACTATACTCAATCCTTCTGCAACTTTCTTATTTACTCAACATTTAAACATTGTCTGATCTATCCATGTCTTGGAAAATTCTCAGTAGGTAGAACACATTCCAAGTGGAGACATTATTGAGAACAAGGATTCAGAAATAATATGACCAGAGAGTCATCTATGCACTAGATTCTAAAATGGAAAATGTCATTCAGATGGAGGAGGTTCCAGATGACTCCCTGGGGAACACTGCTTGGACACGAAGGTTGACAGAGGTTGTCTGTCACCTTCAAGGCTGTTATTCCCAAAAGGTGAATTTTTCCAGGGACCTCAGCTATATCAACACTAGGTAAAGAACACGGAGGGGAGGGGGGGGAGGGTGATTCTCTACACTCTCTCTAATTTGTTTTTGTCCAGTCCTGAAAGACTCAAATTTACTCATACATATTGCTTTGGAAAAAATACTAGATGTTGGGGCACTTGGGTGGCTCAGTCAGTTAAATGTCTGACTGTTGATTTTGGCTCAGGTCATGATCTCAGATGAGATCGTGAGCTGGAGCCCTGCGTTGGGCTCTGCACTGACAGTATGGAGTCTGTCTCCATCTGTCTGTGCCCTTCCCCCACTTAATCTCTATCTCTCTCTCAAAATAAATAAAAACAAACTTTAAAAAAAAGAAAAAGAGAGAGAAAAAGTACTAGATGAGTCCTAATCCTGTTTTATCATCTAAATAGTTGGTGACGTTGGCAACTCATTTAAATATATGGAGTCGCTTTCCTCTTCCATTAAAAGTTGGATTGCACTAAATTATTTTAAGTCTCTTTCTGCCTATCAAATATTATATGATATTAATCAAACCTCTGAAGCATTTAGTTGTCCATTCAACTGCCTGACATGTCTCAGGAGCCTATCTAGGTGTCCTAGACACAAATAAGAATTAGAGTCCTCAGTGTAGTGGAGGCTAAGCATAGCCATAGGACAATGGGTGGGTTGGTCAAGGCCGTGGGGAAGCGCCAATGAGAGAGCAGTTCATAGTCAATGTGAGAGTCAGGGAAGGGCACAAAGGGTGAGAATACCAAATAAGCATCCGGCAGACTCTCCGCCCCCCCCGCCGCCCCGCCCCATTCACTGCTGCTTCTCTGTTCTCCACATCTGATTTTGTTAGAGAAAAAAATTTTTCTATCCTTCTCCTAATCTGTCAGTGGGTGTAAATGAACAGGAAGCTATAGACTCTCAGTCATACTTAATGCTCAGATGTATACCCTCCAATAAATCTTCTTATTTAACAAAACATAAAATGAAGACATCTGAAACTGGGGGGAGCCAGCACTTCTGTTAATGTAAAGCTGTAAAAGCTTTCCTGGGCGATGAGTAAGCATTTAGAATCCGGACGTTTTGTTTTTTGTTAAAGTGGTAACAGCCCAGCTTTGAGAAATATGTGTAGCACATTTTCCCACACTTCTTCTAAAGAAACAACAAAATAAATATTGTAGAAGATGATTTTAGAGAATGAACTTCATTCCTGCCCATTAATTACCACATGATTTGATGCCAGGAATGTTCATTTAAAAACAGTTAACCCAGAAGGTTAAATGACAAGGGAAATTATTGTGGTGAAAATCTAGTGGTCCATTAATACAGTTTCACATATATGTGGAAAAGCATAAGAAACAAATGTGGAACAAACACTAGGTATTAGGAATATGTTTGTCAAAGATGGAACAGAGTTTCTTATAGAGTTTCTAGAGAATATTGATTGATCAGAAAGTTTTATTCAAGTTTAAATAGGAAATGGAATTTTTTTTCAGCACATTAACAATTCTTGTTGAAATTCTTACTAAAACATATAAGCTTTCCTGACTTTCTTTTATTGTTATTATTTTTTAATGTTTTATTTATTTCTGAAAGAGAGAGACAGCATGAACAGGGGAGGGTCAGAGAGAGAGGGAGATACAGAATCTGAAGCAGGCTCCAGGCTCTGAGCTGTCAGCACAGAGCCCGACGCGGGGCTCGAACTCACAAACCGTGAGATCATGACCTGAGCTCAAGTCGGACACTTAACCGACTGAGCCACCCAGGCCCCCTAAGCTTTCCTGACTTTCTAAGCACAAAGTTGATGTCAACTTAACCCTTGAAGACTGCGGTATCAAAACCTCAGTGCTAATGGCCAACTACAGTAGATCCCAGGGTTGAAGACCAGTCCTTAGAACCTCAGGTAGACCCTAAAATATTTTTTTGGAAAGATAAATTCCTGATACCAGCTTTCAAACACTGTTTAAATCCTCTCCTTCCCCCAGGGTGTAGGGAGCAACCGACACTTTAGCAAAGAACAACTTCCATTCCTTTGACTCTGCCCAATTGAGATTATACTGTTTTCAGAGAAGACTGTTCATGAGGACATGGTACTGAATCATACGATGGATATCAGGGAATATTCCACCTCAAACTCTTTTTAATTATGAAGGACAAACCAGTTACTTTACAGTGGACAAATGTGGCAGACACCACCTTAACCAAATGACCCAAATTAACGTTGCAACAGTGCGATGAATCAACAGCACATGCTCCTGCCAGGATAGTCAGAGAACCTGGCATCACTCTTATGGTCCAGCCCCGTCTGCGTAACCTGAATCTCGTCACGAGGAAACGTCAGACAACCTGAGTGAAGGAACAGTCTGCAAAATAACTGACCTGTGCTCTTCAAAAGTACCCATGTCATGAGAAAGAAAGGCTTGGGGAAATGTCTCAGATCACAGGAGACTGAAGAGACAAGGTGACTGGATGCAGGGACACCTGGGTGGCTCAGTCGCTTAGGCATCAGCTCGGGTCATGATCTCACAGTCCTGAGATCAAGACACCCCTTTGGGTTCCATGCTGAGAATGGAACTTGCTTAAGATTCTCTCTCTCACCATCTCCCTGCCCCCCACCCCACAAAAAAAGAATGACTAGATTTAAATTTTGCATTGTTTTGCTATAAAATTAGACATTGTGGGGATGATTGACAACGTTAATAAAGTCTGCAGATAAGATAATAACATTGTTTTAGTGCTAATTTCCTGATTTTGATTATTGTCCCATGGTGATGCAAGAGAATTCATGTTTTTAGGAAATATAAATAAATAATTAGGGGATAAAAGATCGCCAAGGGCGCCTGGGTGGCTCAGTCAGTTAAGCATCCAACTTTGGCTCAGGTCATGATCTCATGGTTCATGGGTTTGAGCCCCGTGTCAGGCTCTGTGCTGACAGCTCAGAGCCTGGAGCCTGCTTTGGATTCTGTGTCTTCTCTCTCTGTCCCTCCCCTGCTTGCACTCTATCTCTCTCTCTCCCAAAAATAAATAAACAATAAAAAATATATTAAAAAGAAAGATCTTTACCCTTAGATGGATATGAGAGAACCGACAGGCTGAAAATATTTCATTATCTTAACTGTCATCATGGTTACAACGATTACACAAATATATGTATTTGTCAAAGGCCATCAAACTTAAATGCATGAACTTCATTGTTTGCAACCATACCTCATTCAACAGAGCTGATTTTTTTTTTTCCAAAATGTTGTTCATTGTGGGAGCACCTGGGAGACTCAGTCAATTAAGCGTCTGACTCTTGATTTTGGCTTAGGTCATGATACCAAGATTCATGAGTTCGAGCCCTACTTTGGGGTCTGTGCTATCAGTGTGGAGTCTGCCAAAGACTCTCTCTCTCCCTCTCCTTCTGCCCCTCTCCTGCTTTCTATCTTTCTCTCAAAAAAAAAAAAAACTTTGAAAACAAAACAAAATTCTGTTCATTTTGGTATTGTATGATAATTTTTGTGACTTATTATTACTCAGATAACCTTTCCGGTTTTTATGTGTATAATTTTATGTTGATTGATGGATTGATGGATTGCCTAACCTGATACATGAAATCCAATAGCTACTAAGTTGTTACAAGTTATGTCTTTTTATCTCATCTATTTTAAGTAGTTTGCAAATAGGCACATACATTCCCATTCAAATCTTGCTTGCTTTTTAAACAGCTGCAAATATTTTCTACCTAAAAAACAAGCCCCTTTTGCCAATAAAAGATATCTTCAACATAAAACAATTCCTAAATCTTGTACTATATAAAAATGAAAAGAGAAAAAAGAAGAAAAGCATGTTGGCTCCTTCAAAGGAAATGAAAAACTAGGACTAGGGCCATTTCTGATCACTAAATAATAGGATTTCTGTTGTTCTGTATCCCACAGGAGCTCAGCTATTAACTCAACTTAGGAAAGGGATTGCAAAATGGACTGTCTCCTGTTGTGAAGAGATTCTGATGCCTTTACATCGCACTACCAAAGGCTTGAAGAAAGGTGAGCCGCCAGGGTCAGCATGTACCATAGAAATTGGCTCGCAAACCTCAGGAGTGAAAAGCTGTTAGTACAGGTAGAAGCAATTCTGATTGGCACGTGGATTTGGACCTGACCCACATTAACAAGCAGGATGTGGATGCCGGCTGCCTCCAGCGGCCAGAGCTTAACAGAAAAGTAAGCTGGAAATGTGCCAGCTTTCCTTCCTTCTGGTTCTAACAAAATAACCAGGCGTCCTTGTACACGCTTCTTCTCCATGGCTCAGTTTCCCTATCTACAAGATGAAGAGTTACAGTCTTATACCCAGAGTAATCTGATATCCCATGATTCTGAATCTCAGGATTTTTGGTACGCAGCAGAGACTTTTCTACCCCCCCCCCATTTTTTTTTTTTTGTCATTTTTCTCCCTCATGCTTCCCAAACTAACAATATTGTCATATTTACTTTCTAAAGTGCAACAGGGGACATTCTTTGGATAAGAGGAAACATTTACATTGTTTCCATTGTGGTTTTGGCTTACTGGGAGATAGAAAATGCTTCCTTCCTGGGTCCCCAACGAATTCCTGGGACTATCCATAAAACTCTCCCCAGCATGGAGTACACACGGTAACAGGGTGCAGGTACAGCTAATAGATAGAAATACTTTCTGTTTGCTTAAGTACCTAGGGATTTCTGAGTAAATGAATAACTCTTATTTCACAGGTAGTAATAACATCTGTGTGAACGAACTTGTAGATTCCTTTATCATCATTTACAACTGAACAGATTACAGATTCTGGATTTGACATTCCCGACTGTGTATGAGACCAGTTTAAGCTTCAGTTTAGAACCTCGCCCAACTTTACTTTATGGCGAAAATGACTGGTTTAAAGTTCGCCTAGGATTGGAAGCTGGAAAATGCGGGAAGGCACCAGGATCTGCCACCCTAAAACATTGCCTCTTTGGCATATGAATCATTTTGAGAACCAGAAGAAGAAGGAAAAGCTTTAAAAACAAGGCACAAGTTTCCCTTTCGTGAAGGAATTTTGTGCTAACCTTAAGAACTATCAGTGGAAAGGCACCATAATAAATGTTACTAAACAATCCTTGTTGACCATACTTTTCCTTACTGCCTTGCCATAACTTTTCTCCCCTCCCAGAAGCCAAGACCCCCCTTCCTTTGTCTGTCCTACAATGGTATAGAAGCCCCTTTGGGTTACTTGTTCCCAAGTACTACCATGTACTCCCTGCGCATGATGCACAGGTTAATTAACTTCTGTTTATTTTCTCTTGTTCATCTGTCTTTAGCCAGATTTACAGAACCCCAGCTGGAGAAACTAAGAAGATAGAGCAAGAGATCTTTCTCCCTTCCCTACTGTGCTGTACCTGGACTAAAATATTAGAATAAACACTCTTGCCTTAAAGAAGAGAAATGCGTCAGACTTATGAAAGAAGCTATATTTCATCCCGTTTGGGGATCATCCTTGGGAACTGTTTATCAGGTGTCTTCCCAAGAGCAATAGTCGTGAGGGATAGATATGCGTAGGAAAAGAGATTCTGAGACTGATGTTCCACCCATCCTGAGAGGGTCACAATCTACCCTGGCCCATTCGAGGTCCTAAGATGTTCCGCATTCATTAAAATACATTTAACTTTACGATTAACTGTAACTTGTAGTGTTCCACATAAATGACTCAGAACACTTTTTTTCCACATAAACTCTTCTTGTTCTGCAAAACACCCTTTGGGAAACCCAGAAGCAGCCTTCATTTTCCCAGAAAAGAGTCCAGAATAATTTCTGAGCCAGTCATTTCAATATCCTGCCCCCCCCCCCCCCCCCCCCCCCCCGCCAAGCTTCATTGGCAGGACAGAAAGAAGTCTACCTCAGGGTGCAGGGCTCAGGGGTGCAACCACCCTGGGAACACCATGCGGGAGGGGCAAAGGAAAAGGATTGAGCAACTTATTTGGGTCCCTGTCTTAGGAAATGATTGTGGGGCTGAATGGGGCAGTGATAAAGGGGAAGAAATGATCCCTATTCTCTCCTGGGACCAGCAATCCCTAGATTGCTAAACCTCAAGTTGAAAGTCAACGCTGGTGCTTCTATCTGGAAATCAGATCTGGGAGTACAGAAAAGACAATCTGTATTTTCATGATGAAGATCTCAAACTCCAAATTTGGTCCAAATTTGCCCCAGACCCTTGCTGGTCACGTGACCCTTGTCAGTAAGCATTCTATGTTTTTGTTTCCTTATTGTAAAGTAGTGAACATACTAGTACCTATTTCTTTAGCTTGTTGTGAGCATTAAATGAAATGTTACAGTGAAGAGACTTAGCCCAGTATCTGCCGTAAATTAGGTGCTCAAAATAAAATTAGATACTGTCTTATGTCAAAAGTAAAAATACAGTTACAAAGTAAGTTCATAGATACCAGCTAACAGTTACACTACAAAACAAGGTCAGCCAGAGCACCTGGGTGGCTCAGTCAGTTAAGGGTCTGACTCTTGATTTCAGCTCAGGTCATGTGCTCACAGTTCCTGGGTTCAAGGCCCAAGTCAGGCTCTATGTTATCATCATGATGCCTGCTTGGGATTCTCTCTCTCTCCCTCTTTCTGTGCCATTTGCCCACTTGTGCTCTCTCTCTCCCTCTCGAAATAAACAAAACTTAAAAAGAAAAGTCAGTCAACAGAGAGTTACAGAACATTAGTAGCAAGAGTACCTTATGTATTGGTGAGAATCTTTGATTAGGACCCAAGCTCTTTTGCCCTAAAAGTGAAGTAACTTAAGAAAGAAAGCCAGGACTTAGTTAAACAGTGCTTGAATAGGTAGGTATAGATGATAAAATATATATAAACTACATATATAGAATATATAAATAAATATATATACTTTATACACTATATATTATATATACATATATACTATGTATATATACATATATACATATATACATAATATATATGTTATATATACTCCATATATATACTATAACATAATATATATGTTATATACACTATATATGTTTATATTATAAAATAAATATATATACACATATATAAAATATATATATTAAAAATATATATATTTTGTGTGTGTGAATATTGGGCCTCATTATATCTCTGAGTCTGTTTCCAGGAATTACCTTTGAGTCTAAGTCTATGAATTATAATAAATTTTTAATTATATTTTAAAAAGTTCAATCAGTTATTTAATGGATATAGAGTTTCAGTTTTGCAAGATGAAAAGTTCTGAAGATCTGTTGCATGACAATGCAAGCATACCTAACATTAGTGAACTATATGCTTAAAATGGTTAAGAAGGTAAATTTTGTTAAGAGTTTGGTGTTTTTTAAACAGAAAGAAAAAGAGAGAAATGAGATGGATCAATGTCTTGTCTTCACGTGCTCTATGGGAGAGGCGACATCTTCAGGGTTGAAAGTAAACAGCCTGCATAGTGTCCCCATATATATCAGTAGGGGACGGGGATGTGAGCAGATACTCAATGGCTTTAGAAAATGCCTTGATTCCACTCAAGATTTGGTAAGAAATTAGGGTTGTTCATGGAATGTGGGGTTGGGCCCTAAGTGGGCTCTGCTCTAACCTTTTGAAAGCAGCATATTACAACTGGGGAATATGTCGAAAACAGGACTCCATTTACTTTGCAAAACTGCTCTTATGTATCCCATAACCCCACAACCTTCTCACCGAAATCAGAACCTGAGCAATGGTGTGCCGATAGATGCGTAGCAACCAGCTCTCCAGGAAACAAAAAGGGAACCTTCATGCACATGCATGCATTAGGGCTTTTACTTCTATAAAGAATGCATGACACAAAGTTTACAAATACAATAAAACATATAATAATCTTTATTGTAAATTCTTAACCAATGCTTCTGTTGATTTTTACTGACCTCTCGTAAGCATAGCCATCATATGGTGGAACAGATGGAAAAGTGTGGCTCCAACAATGGATGTTGGTAATATGATTATTTTTATTTATAACAGTTAATATGAAGCAAGGAAGACATATCTTGGAATTTCACGCATTCATCAATGATGTGGATGACTTCTCAGCTGAATCAGAAGTTTCAAGATTGTATGCTACTCCCAAAGTAATGGCTACAGACATGAAATTCTTTCCTGTTTAACTTACGTTATTAAGAATTTCTCCACCACTTTCTTAAGTCTAGACCAGGAGTTGGCAAACTATGGCTGGTGGGCAAAAAGCAAAAGCAGAAACAAAATATCAGGAGGCTTCCTGTTTTTGTCAATAAAGTCCTACACAAGCCCATTCATTCTTGTATTGTCCATAGCTGTTTTCCCACTCTGATGGCAGAGCTGAATGCTTGGACAGGAACTGTATGGCCCAGAATGCTTGAAATATTTACTGTCGGCCCTTTATAGTAAAAGTTTTCTGATCTAGTTTTGTTCCTAATGTAGACAATCAACAAAGTATCAAGGTTAAATCCTGATTTGTAGCTTTTTCCCATTTCCATAGTGTAAAATGTTCCCAACATGGCAGGTTTCAAGGGATTAGTGTGGCATCACGGACCCTGAAGTGAGGAAGAGAAGCACTACATCATTATGTAGCGTTTCCATCAAACACACAGAGTAAACACAAATAACCTCAGAGCTTAGATAATAGTAAGACATAGTAAAACAGACAGTGATGATTTTTGAAAATTTATTACCTTTATATTTAGTATGCTTTTATTTCATTATCAATGTGTATAATTTAATTTTTAGTAATGGCTGTGTGTACATATAATGGGATCACCCCTGACTTTGGAATGCCACCCTCTGTGAAGGTCATGTGAGCTCCCTACTTCCTCATGCCAGCTACATCAGTTTTCGAGTCCTATAATTCCATCCCCCAAACCTGTATAACAATCTGTTCTTCTCCTTCCTTAGTGTTAGTGCTTCAGCACTGGACATCTTCATCTCTTGGCCAGATTATTAAAATTTCTTCAAATTGTCTCTTAACTTCTGAACACATCCCTCCATTGCATCTTCTAGATGATGCTTCTTAAACTATAATGTTGTATCTGAATCATCTGGGATTCTTATTAAAATGAAGATAGATGTCCATTCAGTAGGTCTGGAAAGGTCTTAAGATTCTGCATTTCTAACAAACTCTCTGGCAGTATTGATGCTTGTTGGACCTGGGACCACACTTGAAGTAGCAAAGTGCAGTTGCTGCTAAATCCTCTTTTTTTTTTTTAAAAAAAAAAGGTAATGTTTTATTTATTTTTGAGACACAGAGAGAGACAGACAGAGCACAAACAGGCACCAGGAACCACCCAGTTGCCTCTAAATTCTTTTTAAAATATAAACCTGGGGGCACCTGGGTGGTTCAGCCAGTTGAGCATCCGACGATGGCTCATGTCATGATCTCATGGTTCATGAGTTCAAGCCCCATGTCGGGCTCTGTGCTGACAGCTCAGAGCCTGGAGCCTGCTTCAGATTCTGTGTCTCCCTCTCTCTCTGCCCCTCCCCTGCTCATGCTCTGTCTCTCTCTCTCTTTCTCTCAAAAGTAAATAAACTTAAATAAATAAATAGATAGATAGATAAATAGAATGTAAATCTGGAGTGTCTGTGTGGCTCAGTCTGTTGAGCTCTGACTCTCGATTGCTCATTATGATTTCACGGTTGTGAGACTGAGCCCTGGGTCAGGCTCTGCTGGGCATGAACCTGCTTAAGATTCTCTCTCCCTTTCCCTTTCCCACACTCTTGTTCTCTCTCAATAAAATAAAATAAAATAAAATAAAATAAAATAAAATAAAATAAAATAAAATAAAATAAAATAAAATAAAATAAAATGTAAATCTGACCTTGTTCCTCCCTGTTTCCCAAATACCACAGGCTGTTTCACACCCTTGTACTTTACTAATATTGCCCACACTGCTTAAAACCGCCCTGCGCCCTCCTACATCTACCTGGGAAATGCCTTCGTTTCAAAGTACTGCTGTGCGGCAGTACCTCCTATGAAGCCTCTTCTGACACCCCCAGTTAGGAAGGAGCCCCCTTCTTGTCCCCACTGTTCTATGTCAGCGCATCCACCTCAAGACACTGCTGCATTTATTTATTTGTGTGCCTTTCTCCGTCACTGAA